TTGCGCCGTTGCTCTATTCATTTATTTATACATTTATTTATAACAGTTTCAACAGTAACATTAAGCCTCGGCTGTTAATGTGCAGCTGTTAACAAAGCTCTATAATATTAACTTGCACTTACATTTATATCATTTCATCGTATTTCTCCTATTATTTATCGGTATTAAATTGGAGCACTCTTAACAGAAGCGAAAGTTGCTGTTAATGGGCCACTGTGAAGCGCAGCACTGCAGCTGAAACGTGTCTCTCTTAAAGATACATATTTCCGAAAGCGTACAGCTTAAATGGATTGCATGGACGATGACGAGGTGAAGGTTAATTCAGCATGATTGCATTCGCAAAAAGGAAAAATAAACGGATTGAGCGCGAGAGCGGGTCGTGAGGAAATAAAACAAAAGAACAACATGGCAAATGCTTTCAGCGAAACGAATGTGCTGACCCCCCTTAAGCACTCACACAACGTGGGCGAAACTATGCTTGGGATGCCAATGATGTTAGCTATGAGAAATCCCGCTAAGAACAACGCCGCATATCGCGTGGACACCCGTGGCGCTGCTTTAGTCGGACAACGGATGATGCGAAATGGGAAATGGGTATTGGGGTATTGAGGTATTGGGGTTCGGGGAATGGCAATTTCTCAGCTGCAGCAGCACTAGACGCTTGCATTTTATGTGCTCACTGGTCTAAGAAGATGCTCGCCTCCATTGACAAACCATCGATGGCCATGCGATAATGTTTGCCATTGTTTTTGGTTCCATTTTCGTTTCCGTTACCTTGTTTATCTAGTCGGCTGTCTGGCATTTTCAACTCCCAGCGCCACGCCCACCCCACAGCGCACTGTGCAAAACAATCTGTACGCCTTTGTCTCGAAATTAATTTGTATAATTGCAGCGACAACAACGGCAGCAATTGAATGTTCAGCCAAGCATGTCACTTTGTATAGTCCTTAGTGCCATGGCGCCCCGCCCCCTTGTCGATTGTCGATTGTGCCAAGTGAGGCGCAGCTAGACGCGTCTATATAGGTCAAATAAAAGCGCGCACAACGGTAAACAATAAGCGCTAAGCAAAACAAAGTCTGGATACTCTGAAATAAGCACGGGCGTGCGCTAAATACCCGTTACGTTTGACTTAATGAGAATCCTCATGCATATATATATACATTCCACTAGAGAGCTAAAGCAAAAACTAAAAATGTCCCCATGATGAATGCAGCCTTTAAGCTCTAAACTACTTTGCAAGCTTTTGGCCATTAGATTTATGTGCTTTTTCAACTGGATTAATCCCACTATTTGGTTAGGGTATACCAACGGGACAATGGGCCTGGTCAGGACTGTGGCCTGTCAGCCGTTTGGCCAGGACAGCGGCGTCGCAGTCGACGGCAGCGGCGTGACAACACTTGTTTCAATTGCGCCTATTGATGTCATTGTTGTCGTGGTGCTTGTTGCTGTTGTTGTAGCTGTTGTTGTATCTGCTATGGCCAGCCATTGTTGCGCCCTATCTGTTGTGCTAGCTTCTGTTGTTGCTGTCGTTGATTCTTGTCAGCTGGAACCACATTTGCCTAAATACTCGTCGCTGCCAGCCATTAACATGCGACCGACCGACCATCGACGGCCGGCGACCGTTGGACAGCAGTGTGTAAAGGTGTTTTTTTTTTTTCTGCCTTTTTGCATGATACTTTGCAGGGCATTCAAGATTAATGACCAGCGTTTGGCAATTTGTATTTGGTCGGACATTAGGCCGCCCTCACCTACGTATGTATGTATGTGGCTCGCAGAGAATTTGCACTGCGAGCTCGTTTGCTGTTCCCCATTTGGCGCTGCATTGAATTGAGTGAAGCATTTAGGCGCTAGAGGTAAAGAGAGATACATACATATATGCATGTATTCCAGAGATTTGATATATAGGGGGCACAAGAGATGTGTAAATAGCTGCATTTATCTCTCAATAAGCCATGTCACCTTCTGCTCAATTTAGTATTGGTTAACGTAGATAGACCAGGAAAATAAGCTGCAGTGTTAAGTGCTGATTGCTCTTTTGGGTGCACTGGCCCCAATCGTTATCGAATTGCGCAGCACTAATAAGTGACAGCGAGGCAGTCCGTCTTGCAGTTGACAGGCTCAATTTAATTGTGAAGATTTGCAAATTATCATTGTGCGAAATTGTGAGAAAAAAGTCTATTAACATGGCAGAAAGCGCTGATATAACTACAAAAATTAAATCAATTCGCTCAGCCACTAACGAAAATAAAACTTCTTCGCAGAAAAAAGTAAGTCTTATGATTTTCAATATAAATTTGGCAAGCTATACCACATCTATTCAATTATCTCCCT